TGCCCATATATTTATTCAGTATGTTTACTGGGCCCTCTATCAAATATGAGACACTCTGGTAGGCCTTGGAAAAACTGGAAAGAAAAACATATTACCTGCTGTTAAAGAATTCATGGTCCAGTTGAGAAGACAGGGAAATATATGGCTTCGACACACTGTAGTAAGTGCCACTATAGTAAGTGAACAGGGCATGGACAGTCAGAAGAGAGCCCAGGCAGGCAGGTGCATGGAGGACAAAAAGGGCATGAGTACATGGTGGAAACAGAGAGGTCAATCAAGGCAGCTATGGGAGAGGTGTGGAGGCGATAAGCCCAACTGAGGGATGGAAAGCCACAGAGAGGAGCCACACAGAAGCCCAGCAGCAGGAGGCTGTCAGAGGCCAAAGGGGGCAGTGTGGAGGTGGTCGTGCTAAGGCCAGGGCAGGAGGCAAAGGGAAGGAGGCAGCGGCTGGATCCCACTGGAACTTGGGCAACCCAGAAGAGTTTAGATTCTCTGCAGCCACTTTTCCCTCTTTTGAGAATGCATTTTCCCTTTCACCTGCTTAACTGAAATAAGGACAATTTATCTTTTTGGAAATCCACTAAACAAATATTTATTGGAACACCTATTGTGTGTCATGGATTGCTCTAGGTGGTTATGATATGGTTGTAAAATTCAGTAGTAAACATAACAAACTAGTATATTGTTTGCCTTTGAGTAGAAACAAGCTGCCAGAGTGGGAAATGGAGTGGAAAACAATCAGCTAACGTAAAGAGGCAGGGTTGACTAGGGAGGTTGTGGGTCAGGCTACAGGGCTGAAGACATGGAAGGAAGCAAAACTTAGTGGTGAGAGGGAGTTAGATTGTGAAGGTGGTCTAGACAGAGGTGACAGCTCAAAGGCAGCCTGAAATGAAGTCCTGGAGACGAGCACAGAGATCAGGTGTGACATGTAGACTGTTTATGGACTTGTGGCCTGAATAAACTGGGGAACAACTGCAGGGTTTTGACCAGTGGGTGTTGTGAGATGACTAATGCTTTCGGGTGCTCGCACTTCACGCAGTGTTGAGAAACACCACGGCGCTGCCATGGGAGCAGCAGGGAGAGCTGTTGGAGAAAGTGCAGAAACAGCGAGCACATCCCTCTTGCGAGCACCAGGGGAATCGTGAAGGTTCTGAGCGCCAGAGCAGCCACGCCTCTTAGCAGAGCACAGCTTCTTGTGCAGCTCTAATCTTGTGATTGTTTTAGCTCTGGACTTGCTCCTAACATTGGTAGGATACAAGCAGCCCTAACTAAGATTCAGATGTAAAAAACCAAAGCCCACGGACTCAAGGCTTTCCAAACCTGGAGGCACTGCACAAAGTGCTTGCATCTTGTGAATGGCTTGTGGCCTGTCAAGACCTTGAAAATTTAATTACATCTAAAGTAAAACCAGAATATGTAGTTTTTATTCAATTTCAAATCTGTTTGCACACTGAGGTGCACCTAAGTAAAATATAGTACTATACAGGATATTGCTCAACAAACATTTTAAGTAAAACATGAAACTAGGTCAAACAAAATGAACATCTCTAACATTTGTATTATAGGAAGACCAAGAAAGCTGTGACAATATTTACTTTATTTAGTTTTGAGCATACATAGCAATCTTATGGTAAATTGGGATGACTATTTTTGAAATATAGGTTAAAGCTCACTTAGGTTAAAACCCACCTGAAACTATTATGGTGCATATTCTATCTATATTGTAATGCAGTGTGACTAATGAGAGGTAACTTGAAGAATTTCTGCTTCTGTGTGTGGCATGGACATTGACCTCAGGGGAAAACATTTGCTATATTTCCCATCCCTTGTAAGACAGGGTCTTGTTTTATTTTTTATTTTTTTTGGTGGAACTGGGGATTGAACTCAGGCCCTTGTGCTTGCCAGGGAAGCTCTTATTCTACTGAGCCATCTCCCCAGCCCCAAGGGTCTTGTTAAGTTGCCCAGGTTGCCCTTGACTGTGGGATCCCTTTGTGTAGCTGGGATTACAGGCGGCTGCCATCTGCCATATTGTTGGGTTTAAGAATTCCTTTCATATGACAGACTCCTAATTGCAGTAAAACTGTAGAGAGGAAACGGAAACAGTAAGCTGACTCATTTCTGTTTCCTTCTTGTGTGAACCCAGGTGTCTCTGAGTCAGGTTTGTGCTGGCTGTCCTGGGTGTGTTGGCACAGTCTCCTGGCAGGTGGCAGGCTGTTGGGGCGGGGCAGTGGGGTGGGGAGACAGCCTCAGGCACCCTGAGTGCTGTGTCACTGCAGAAAATAATACAGGGTCCAGGAGTGAGTGCTGCTGTAAAAAGAAAAAAAAAACCCTATTTGTTCAATTTGGACAACTGTTTTTAAGCTCACCTTTCATGTACTTGAAATAACTGAGCTATCTCACACTTGAAGCTCCAGCTGCACAAGCACGTGTGTGTATTCTGGTTCCCAGCTCTGCTGGTGTTTGATAGTTAGGCTGCGGTGCAGGTGTTCTTTTTTAGAATGTGGCTCAGACATAGGTGAATAAGGTGGTGTCCTGTCCACCGCTTTTGATTATTTTTAGTTCCATTTTCATTTTATTTTAAGGGAATAGTTAGTGTATTTTTTTTTTTTTTAATTTTAGGGAAGGGTGTACAGGGTGTACAGGGTCTCACTGCTTAGATCGGACTCATAGAGATCCGCCGGTTTACAGCCTCCCAACAGCTGGGCTTATAGGCGTGCGCCACCAGTCCAGTCTTAATCACCAGTCTCAGGTGCCCTGAAGGCTGGGTGGGCACGGCAGGCCCAGGATCAAATCCCCAGCCTCTGCGCCTGCTTGCAGGTGCTTTAATCCACTGAGCTATTTGGCTGGCCCCTTAGTGTATTTTAATGGCCAAACTATGATCTGATTAAAGTGCAAGATTTAATGGTTCTGTAATTGTCACAGCCTAAGACAGGGAAGTGTGGATGGAAGTTTTAGGTAAAAATTGTAGTCCCCTTTAGAAGTGTTCCTTTTCTTGTTTTCCTCTGTGATTTTCATTCTTCTGTTACCTATTTTGCAATGCACACATTATAGTTCTCAACCTTTGCTATATATTCATCACTTGGGGTACTTTCAAAATCTACCCATAGCAAGGGTTCTACTCCTGGAAACTGACTCGTTTGATGACGGATTGGGCCAGGGGGTATATTTAAAGTATTCCAGGTAACCTGTGCAGCTGAGGCTGAAAACCACCGGGGTATTAAATTGGAGCAAAACTACCAAGGTTCTGGTTCCTGGTCTGAGGTTTACTGAATTTATGAAATCGGTTGATCTTGGTTTTCAATTTGCCATATAATGATGAGGTTGGATTCGAGATTTATAAAAATTCTTTAGTACTCAAATTAAATAATTCGGTTTTAATTAAAACTCAACTGGTTTTCCTAACTCCAAAGACATGGAAGCTGGTTATGTGGAGTATGAACTGGTGAAACAGGTGAGTGATAATAAACAGCGTTGAAACTGCACATATATAAAATCTCCCCTTTTTTCTTTCTAATTACAAGGGCGTGGGTCTGAAAAAAATGTGCAAACTTCAGCCTAGAACCCTCAAGAGACTTTCAGGGTGTTTGTGGGCTCCAGTTGCCTTCAACCCTAGTGAGTGTGTGCCAAGGGACAGTGGAGGAGGGACAGCGCCTACTCCACGCGGCGCGCCGAGCAGGTAAACATAATGAAGCCCCGAGGGCTCACGCTACTCACCAGGCCTGGCCTGGTTCCACACGGCGCTGGTGTGCAAGCAGGTAGGGGCGTACTCACACACACGCACGCGCGCGCACACACACACACACACACACACACGCGCCCCAACTCTGGCCCCTCGGGTTCCGCACCCCACGGCCAGGAGGGCGCCTCCTCCCGGCGACTGGGTCCTCTCGGTCGCCGGTGTCGACCCCGCCCGCGGCCGCGCTTGGAATCGCTCCGCTCCCCCGCGCTTGGGCGGCGGCGGTGGCGGCCCGCGCCTCCCCG